ACTCCGCCCTGGGCGCCCGGGAAAGTTCGTCTTTCACAGCCGAAGAAAGCCCTTCTTCAAAGAGCATTTGAATGGGTTCCGCCGATAAGTCCCACCCCAATCTGTGAACCAGCATGGTGAACTCAGTCCAGTACTCACGGACAGATCGGCTCCCCTGTTTGCAAGCCATTAACTGTCTGCGCACCACTCCCTGTTCAATATCGCTGGAAAACATCAGATCCATGGCGCGAAAGAACTTCATCGTGTCCTTTAGGACGTCACTATTCGCTGCCATCAGGGGTCTAACCCAGTCTCTCGCCCCCTTTTCAAGATGCTCAATCACGAAAGCCACTCGTGATTCCTCGTCAGGTAATTCATCAAACTGCAGATTGAGGGCATATTGCATCTCTGTCCGAAAGCCATGATAGTCTTTGGGCTCCCCCCCCAAACTTCTGCACCAATCCTGGTACCTTTCTGGCGAGCTGGGTGGCTTTCCCCTTTTTGTCTGCATCCTGAGCCCTCCTCTCCTCAAGCCTCGCCGTCTGCAGCGCTAGCTGGACCTCCAACACCCGGTACCTTTCTTCCAGGCTTGGACCCGCTCCAGCTCCTGCTTCTCCGGTTCCGGCTGGGTTGCTCATGATGCCTTCTCCTGCACAAGCTGCTTTCAAAGACTGTCGGAATGCTGTGATGGGATGATGAGCTGCTTGTGCGTAAAATCGTATCCCCTCAGAGTTTGTTCAAGTCCACAAACCTCTGTCTGTGACGGAGCCCCTCAGACATGGCTCCTCTAGTCACTAGCAGATTCCGACAGTGGTTGCTTCGGAATCGCTTCCAACATAAAAGCTCCTTAACGGAAACACGTCTTCTGGACTCTCTGCGTGTCAGTTTCCGGCGAGGAGTGGGTGTCCCTACAGGAGGTCCTGAAACCTCCCCACTGTTTTCGCTGGAAGTGTCTCTGAGCCATCCCTCCAGCTCACTTTCCCTCAGCTCAGCTCCTCTCCCCCTACTGGTTCCCTCTTCAGCTGCTGAGTCTCTCCCAACCTGTGTGAGCCCTTTCACCTCCCTTCCTTCCGATGGCAGTTCCCTGACACAACGTGTCGTGGCAATTTTTATTGAAGAGTATGGAAGCAATAGGGATAGAGGGTTCATTTATGAGGAGTATAACAGCAAATTATTCTAACTAAACTGCTAAATTAATTGTTAATAACAGTTTGACAGAGTCTTTTGACATCATGAAAGGTACGAGACAGGGATGCCCTCTATCTCCGTTCTTGTTTATAATGGTTCTAGAGGTTCTAGCAGACAGGGTAAGAAAATCATCAGAAATACGTGGAATAAAAATTGGAACTAAAGAATTTAAATTGAAGGCCTATGCAGACAATCTTGTACTATCTTTAGAGGAACCTCAAACTAGTGTTGGCAAAGCACTGGAGGAATTAGAGGAATTTGGTAAACTATCAGGATTCAAATTAAATAAAATAAAGACTAAAATGATGGTTAAAAATTTGGACAGGAATGCGACAGAACAACTGGAACAGAAGTGCGGAATTAATGTGGTGAAAAAAGTAAAATATCTAGGTATCTGGCTAACAATGAAAAATATTAATTTATTTAGTGACAATTATACTTTAGTATGGAAAGGAATCAAAAGAGACTTGGACATTTGGAACAGATTAAAGCTGTCTTGGACCGGGAGAAAGGCAGCGATTAAAATGAATATCCTTCCAAAGATGTTATTTCTCTTTCAAACGATCCCTGTGATTAAGGGGTCATCTCAGTTTAAGGATTGGCAAAAAAACTCTATCAAGATTTATTTGGCAGGGAAAGAGATCCAGGATTAAGTTTCAATTACTAACGGATCGGAAGGAAAGAGGAGGGTTCTCAGTTCCAAATTTAAAATTATATTATGAGGCATCCTGCTTGTGCTTGATAAAGGAATGGATAATTCTGAAAAACACTGACTTGCTGGATCTGGAAGGGTACAATAATAGATATGATGGCACTCTTATTTGTGGCAAAGCAAGGTGAAAATTCAAAAAGGCTTTACAAATCATATTTTTAGAGGTGCCCTGCATGACATATGGGACAAGAACAAAAACTTATTAGAAAGAACCACACCCTGGTGGCTATCTCTGATAGACCTGTTAACAACAAAAAAACTAAATATGGAGGGAAAGAGAGTAACATATGAAGACATATTAGTGAAAACGGAGAGTGGGTGGAAAATTAAAACATATGAGGAAATGAAAGACGGGTTGACAGATTGGCTACAATACCACCAGGTAAATGGCTTATTGAAAGAGGACAAAAAACAGGATTTAGCAAGAAAAAGTCTAAATATCAAATAGAAATCCTGGAGGGAAGAACAAAACTTCAGTCCAAAACGTACAACTATCTGTTGGAATGGGACACTAAGGATGAGTTAATAAAGGAAGTAATGGTAAAGTGGGCAATTGATTTTGGTTACAACATAGAATATGATAAATGGGTAAAACTATGGAACGAAGGGATGAAATTTACAGCATGTTCCACTTTAAGGGAAAACTTAGGGGAAATGATGTACCGGTGGTATATTACCCCGGTCAAATTGGCGAAAATGTACAAATTGAGCAAGCCTGTTGGAAATGTAAACTTAAGGATGGGGATCTCTATCACATGTGGTGGGAGTGTGAAAAGATGAAAAAAAATTGGGACCTAATATACAATGAACTTAGGAAACTTTTTAAGTACACATTCCCGAAAAAAACGGAGGCTTTCCTACTAGGGATAATAGGGGAGGAAGTAAAAAAGGAGGATCATAAACTATTCCAATATGCCACGGTAGTGGCCAGGATTCTTGTAGCTCAAAAATGGAAGTCACCGGAGATCCCAACGGTTATGGAATGGCAGACTAAATTTTTTGAATACACAGAATTAGCTAAAATGACGTATAAAATCTGACACCAAAAAGGGACAAAGTTTGAAGAGGAATGGGGCAAATTTGTAGCATATATAGGAATTAACTGTAGAAGTTTAAAAACTACAGCAGGGCTAATATAAATCCCGTGATGTGTATAGAAATGAATAAGAATCTGTAAGAGAAGATATATATTAAGAAAACCGCAACTGGGAAGGAAGTCGAGGCGTGATTATACGCAGTGTAAATAAGATGACATCAATAATGACTGTAAAGATTGTTCTATTTTGTTTCTGGAAAAATTTCAATAAAAAGCATTTAAAAAAAACAACAACCATCTAACTTTTAGAAAACATCTGAAGGCAGCCCTGTTTAGGGAAGTTTTTAATGTTTGATTCTGTATCATGTTTTTTATATTTGGCTGGGAGCCACCCAGAGTGGCTGGGGAAACCCAGCCAGATGGGCGGGGTATAAATAATAAATTATTATTATTATTATTATTATTATTATTATTAAAACCTCACATAGGAAGAAGAAAGGAGAACTTCACTTGCGAATTTACAAATTATTATATGTGTCAATGCAAATTGACGTTAATTATTGTAGCTGTGGTATAATGGATTTTATCAAGAGTGGATTGTATTTGGTTTGAGCAATAGTCTGGGGGCAGAATTACAGGGAATTAGACCTTGAAGTACAGCACATGGGAAGCCACACAAAATTTATAATTGGCTATGTAATTGATTTGTATTTGAATTGGTATTGTTATTTGATATTAATATAATATGGCACATACTAGATTTTTATAACTGAAAATTAATAAAAATTATTTAACAAAAAGAAGCAACAATAGACAACTTTGAATATTACAAAAATACATGGTTACATATAAAAATGTTACATTAATACAAAGTTTCTAATATGTATAAATCAGTATCAATTCATTTTCCTTCTGACACAAGGAGGATACATGGCAAACTAATCAAGAAGAATCAAATTTTCTTCAGCAATGTATGGGATGGTTGGGGGTTGGGATGGAGTGGCCTGTGCTGTAAGAACTGTGGTGCTCCAAATACACAAGATATTTTATATCTGTGAAATGTTGGAGGGTATATCAACTACAATATATATATAAACAAACTGATTTTTAAAATCCTCACAGCCACCTTGCTGAAAAATTCTATGAAGCGCCATTGATTTCTGGGGTTTCGCTTGAGGCTCTTTCATTGTGGAAATAACCGGAAATGTTATAATCAGGACATTATTTTCTCTGTGCTATATTCTGTTGCCACAAGCTAGGCTTGGATGGCTTCAGGAGCTGTGTCATTAAGCCTGTTTCGACCACTCCAGCTACTATCTTTAGATTACCGGACCTTTCACCATTTCTAGTTATGCTTTGTAATAAACTCTACTTCACTTTTGCTCTGTATGCTTTCTCCATTAAACTAATGACAGGGTATAGAATTCCTGGAATTGCACTATTTCAGACTCAAAAAGCAGAGAATCGCTTGAATGCTCCTATCTGCTGCCTGAAATGTGGCCTGCAGGTTGGGCACAATAATTCTTTATATCACAGGGTTTTTCTGCATACCTCTCTTAAAATGGGGCTTAGCCAAACGCTCCCATCCTGGATAGTAATTGTAAGAGCTGTAGGGAGGCTGCTCTGTACTTAGGGTTAGACAAGGATCAGCAATGGAACTCTTGCAGACTGGGAGGTAAAGACCAATTTTATCCTCCCTATCCCGTCTTTACTGGACCTGGGAGCCTGAGCTGCTTCCAGGGAGAAGTCTCAGGGGCAGACTTTGGTCTTTCAAATTTCAACAACACCCTGTGCCTCTCGCCTTTTGTTCTGCGCATGCACTATGTCCTGTGGTGCTCCCCTCGGCTAGGCGTCCATTGCGGGGAAACTGGTCATGCTGTTCTAAATCTACCTCTGGGCAGTTGTGCTGTGCTGAGTGTACAAATGCAACTCATGAATGTATTAAGTGTGATTAATGGTGTGCCTCCATTGGTGCTATTTTATATTTTTATTGGTTTATTGTATTGCGCTTTTGTATTTGTATTTACTATAGTGTTATGGTATTTTCTCTTGGGTTAATTTGTTCCGTGCTTTGAGGGTCTTGGACTAAAAATGGCACAGAAGTAAACAGATGATATTAATATAAAGCCAGACTGATAGTTCCCTTGTTTACAAGGCCTGACTAATGGTAGTTAACACAAGCAATGCTGAAATGAGACATTCTGCCATAAGCCATAACTTGTTGTGGTAAGAACAGGTACTACACTTGATCTTAGCCAAATGGCTGCAAAGCTACCATATGTCTTGAAACTGGATCCATAAGAATCGAGGCCAGATTGTTGCTTGCCACCCTGAATTACTGGTTGAAACTATCCCTCTTCCCGAGCAGCCTTGCTCCCCTGACTATTAAGGACATTTTCCAATCAACATGGAAATGAGCAGGGAAAAATATAACAGTGAAGGGCTTTTACTCTGGCCCATTGTCAGGCCCTCCCCTCAGCCATTCAGGAAGGCTGTTATAGAAGGACACCATACGAGGAGAGGAAATGTCCATGTGGCTCTGGGCAGCAGGAAACAACGGAACATGCCTTTCCCCATTGCCAGTACTATGTAGACATACGAGCCAGGCTTATCCTGCCTATTCTTCATAAATTCCCAGGACGCATAAAACAACTTAACATCTCCCTACTACTCCAGGATGAAAACCCAGATGTCACATACTCAGTTGCTAAATTTTGCACTGCCATGATGGATATTCACTGAAGGATGGTTTGTGCTACAAACCAATCTGAAATTGAAAGCCCATATTGTAAGACCTGTATTCCCTTAAAGCCCCACATCTTATAGTTGTTTTAATTGAGTTCTTTCTGATTTTATCTGTTTTAATTATTAGTTTTCATAATAATAATAATAATTTATTATTTGTACCCTGCCCATCTGGCTGGGTTTCCCCAGCCACTCTGGGCGGCTTCCATAGAAACCAAAAATACACTAAAATCCATCCATTATCTGTGTTAATCCCGTATTCGATTCACATTTTTTATCCTATGCTTGTTTCTTTGCTATTAATTGCTTTAATAACTATCTGCTTAAATCCTAGTTGCTATTTTATTCATATGGGGTTTTTATATGCCGGTCTGTGACTGTAATGAAGTTAAAGAAAGACACAACTTGTTGTCACTCTCATTCTCATTTCAAAGTTCAGGGTTTTGTTTTCTAGATTGAGTCGATGCTTTGCTTTTACTTGCTGCATAGAGGTGTGCTCTCGGTGATACAGTAACTTATCGTAGGATGTATCCCATCCGCTCTGGAATGATTTGGCAACAGCTTTGTTTTGCAAAACTATTGGCATTCTCCAGAATATCAAGGCTTTCAGCCTGGTTTATTGCATTCGCTTTTGAAATCCACACAATATCTTTCCACCTGCTGTGCTTCATTACAGAATCCAATGTTTTTATAAAAACAAAACAGGAACCAAAAATGTGTTTTTTGTTTTGTTTTGTTTTTTTAAAAAAAAACCTGGCAGGCACTTTCTTGAAACTTGCAAAGATTTTGAAGGCTGAGGAATATATCCTCTACACAATCCCCCTTCTTTTCTTGATGTAAACTGATCCCAAAACCACCTGGATAACAAAAACCTGCACAGTCTGTCGAGTTTAATCTGCCTGCAACATACTAATGCCTGTGCCTATAAATAAGTCTGAATTCCATTTATAAGGAAAGTCTATCACATCTGGGGTGCCAGCCCCCACCAACATCCATACGGGCATCAGTTCAGTGGGCACAAAACCTACATGCATGCAAGAGAAACAGAGCTGATCTGCCCATGAAGTGGACTGAGGCAGCCACCTCTGGTAATGGAATCCCACAGCCTGGTGCCACACCCCACCCCTACTGCCGCCAAGAAAGTCAGGAGAAGCCACAAGATCTCACAACAGTTCTACAAGATCTTGCCAGAAGCTGCCAATGTACGACACCAATAAGTGAAGCTGCCATGGTGTGGCAGGGGAGCGGCATCTTCCGATTTCATCTCAGGCAACAAAACAGGACAGGCCACCCCTGAAGAGGAGTTGTCGCCTGGCAACTACCAGCAAGGGAAGACTTCTTCCAGCATGGGCCAAATAATTTCCTACTGCCTCCCTTGCCTCATGAGTTCCCAATGAGAGCTGTTGCCTGGCGACTTACAGCTCCCAGAAAAGGAAGCTGTAAGAAGGAATAGTAGGATAGTGGAAGCTTTGGGTAGAAGAATATTCCATTAGGCTAACAGTAGTGTGGAGTTCTCTCTCTCTCTCTCTCTCTCTCTCTCTCTCTCTCTCCCCAATACAACAAAGAGAGAATCCTTGTGCTCCGTCAATTTTTCTGACTCTTCATGTATGCTTCTCTATTCATTTTGTCCTTCACCTCAAGCAACACTAAGCCATATCAATATTTGGTTATTTTAATGGGCATTTAGGACACTCAGCTTTAGCACAACATCTTTTAATAGACCACTCTGCCAGCTAATTCTAAGACATAATTAACCTTAATAATACATTTCTGTGAATTGATGCCCCTAGGAGCCAATATGCAGTTCCTCAGTATTTGGGAGTATTAGTCACTTACATCTTCACTTTGGTAAATGGAACACATTTGATGTAATTTATCCATACTTGTGCATACAGATAACTATATAATAGCTTACTGCTTATCTAAGGCAGCTGTTTTGTCCCGGTTAAAATTAAGCAGAAGTAGCGGTAGATGGGAGAATATATGATTTTATGTAACTAGCAGCAGATTGCAGAAGACTTTCCCATCTCCCCAAATTTGCCTTTTTACTTCTGATTCAGGCATACTCAGTAAAACCTTATTGATTCCAAACAAATTACTCGTGATGATGTGAACAACTTTAGAAACACCCTGAAAATGAATTTAAGGCAACAGCTGCAAAAGAGCAAAGCAATCTATAATTCCTGCATTTATATCCCATTTGTGAAGAAACAGCAAACATGTCTCTGTGGTATAGTTTAAACAAAAGTGATGTTCTTCTACATTCATTCCTATAGAGAGGCCTGTAGCCAAGGAACTGCCTGGTTAGTTCAAATCAATATATGAAATCCCACCCATCTGTTAAAGCAGGCAGGTCCAACAGGTAGATCACAATCTACTGGTAGATCGCAGGGTGTTCCTGGTAGATCCTGATCAATCTCTGGCTCAAACCCACAAAAAAACCCCCAAAGCTCAACAACTTCAGCTTCCTTAAAATAGCTCAAAAACTTTGGTTTAAAAGTTTAACAACTTTGGGGGGGGGGTAAAACTCAAACCATATGAACAAATTGGAAACCTCTTAACAGGATGGTTACAATATCACCAGATTAATGATATACTGAAAGAAGATAAAAGGAGAAATGGGTTTGAGGATAAAAAATCAAAATTCCAAATTGAGCTGATAGAGTATGAAGGTAAGACGTTATCTAGAATATATGATTTACTGCTCGAATGATACACAAAAGAAGAAGAGGTTAAAGAATCAATAATAAAATGGGCAATTGACATTGGGCACAATATAGAGTTGGAAGCGTGGATAAAACTATGGAAGGAGGGTTTGAGATTTACTGGATGTATGGCTTTGAAGGAGAATGTATTAAAAATGATGTATAGATGGCATTTAACGCCAATAAAATTGGCAAAAATGTATAGAAAGAGAGATAGAAGACGTTGGAAATGTAAAGAAGTTGAGGGTGACTGTCTTCATATGTGGTGGACCTGCGACAAGGTCAAAACATTTTGGGAATTAATTTATAATGAACTTAAAAAAAATAATGGGTACACCTTTCCCAAAAGACCGGAAGCAATTTTGCTAGGTCTAATGGGAAGGGAAATTTAAATAAAGGATCAGAATTTTTTTAGGTATGCCATGGCCGCTGCAAGAACCCTACTGGCCCAAAAATGGAAAACACAAGATATACCAACCATCCAGGAGTGGCAGGTGAAGATGACAGACTTTGCGGAACTTGCCAAATTGACAGAGAGAGTCCATAATCAAGAAGATCAGAGATACAGGAACCATTGGAGTAAATTTATTGAATATCTAAAGGTGAACTGTAAAAACGTAAAGACACTAGCAGGACTGGAATAATACCTTCAATGTAAAACAGTAGTGATATAAGAATAATGTGCGCAATAAGAATGGGATAAATATACCAATTGCCGGGAGGGAGGGAAGTCAAGACTCGGCAGAGTCAAAGAGAACATATGGTAACAATAAGGATTGCTGGGAAAAGAATATGTAAAGAAAATAATAAAAATTTACTTGAAAAAGAAAATAAAAGCTTAACAAATTTGGGTAGATCACTGCCAGTTTTTTTACAACAATGGATAGATCACTGCCAGTTTGTTTTTTATACTGTGAGTAGATTGCAGTCTATTGGGAGTCGGACACCCCTGTGTTAAAGTGTCAGGGGCCCTTTTGGGCCCTTGCAGTCACAGGTTCACAATACTGCAGTGCAAAATAGGATTCACAACTGGCAGAATTGTTACATTCTGGATTCTATCATCTGTGACCACTGGCCATTCAGCAAATGGAGCTTGAGTCTAACAACATCTGGAGAGCCACAAGCGCCCCATCCCTCTAGTCAAGAGGAAGAGCAGCAGAGGCAGATTTAGGGGATCACAACCAGTTTGCCTACTCTGGATGCTAAGTTGAGAGGGTGCTGCAGGGAGTATTGCAACAATGACTCAGAACAGAAGGCAAGAGGGGGGCAGAATTTTGGTGTTGCGCAGGGCACCACTGAAATTTTAAAGCCCAAAATCTGCCACTGGGAACTCATACTAACTTCCTGGCACACTTTCTGTGTCTCTCCTTTATCACCTATTGTGAGAGTGGTTCACCTTTTACAGGGGCTGAGGACCACATTGAGCCATGGGCCACCCCTCCAGGGGACAATGATCAAATACATATTCATTCATTCATCCTAAAACAATATCAGTAAATTCATCTTTGCATTAACTAACAAAGCACTGACCATTGAACCATATCCCCACAGCGTTAATTTTTTCATATTAAATTCATACTTTTCATAAACGATTTCCATTTGAATCATTATTTCACTTGCCAATTCGTATTTCATTGCCAATTTGTGCATTGCTATTAAGGAAACGCTGACCGCTGAGAAAACACCCCACCTCCCAAAGCTGCTCTTCAGAAATTTTCTCTTGAAATACTTCCTGTTGCCAAGAAAAATGCACAACGCTTGCATCCCGCCGCTCATTTTAGGTTGCTGAGCTTTCCGTCTGCGCTTGAATGGTGTTTTTATGTTG